GTCAGTCTGTGTTTCAGGAACAGACAGTGAGAATGTTGCCGGAAATTACAACAGGAAAATTATGGTTGGAATACAGGACATGAAAAGAACACTAGAATAAGAGCCTCTAATAAACTATAAGACCCTGCAACTCAAAATGTCTGTAATGTTATGAGGTAAGATATAGGATGGAAGATATCAAAGAGCACCTCTATTTCTAAAATTCTCTTATTTCTGTTAATTTCCAGTAGAAAACTGTAGCCTTCTCAGTGGCCCCTGGCAGCATATGTAGAAGCAGCTTGCCCTAGGCTTCAGAGTCAGAGATGTCAGATAGACCAGATGAGCATCCTGGCCTCTCCACTTGCCATTCACAAAACTTGGAGGAAAATATCAAATCCTACTGAAACTCAGTCTCCCCATATGTAAATTAGAATCGTCATGTCTACCTTACTAGAGTAGAATAAGGACTAGGTTGTAATATAAATAGAATAATGTGCCAATTATTAAGCTATTTCAGCTTCAGACTCATCCTTGCATGCTCCGCTTTGTGATGCTGGAGACAGGACTTGGGGAGCTACTTTTCTCCTTTGAGATTGTATTCCCTGCAGATTTTTCCAATAGGAGGCGCTTAGACACAGAAGTGGGGAGAAGGGATTTGCTCTTTCCTGAATGCATGGCTGCAGCAATGCCTCTTTACTCTGGTAACAATATTTGGGTCCATTTCCAGCCTATTTGAACACACCCAAAACCAATCTCATCACATCCCTTGGGGCCATGCAGGGCCCTTTCTCCAAGCTCCTAGATTCTAATAACTGCAACTTCCTCTTTTGTTCTCCCAACAGTAGGGTTAAAAACTGTTCTGTGTTATCTGTTACTGCTTCTATGTTACCTCAATGTCCCCTTTTGCCTTTTTAGTCCCCCAATACTTGTTTAACTAATTTCTTATATTAAATCATCTCTATCAAGATATCTGTGCTTTTCATTCTCTTGACGCATACTGATACAAGTAGAACTATAAATATGAGTATAATATTCATAAATAAATAGAAATATCATAGCACTAAGCGCAACGCCTGACCACATAAGTACTTAGTCAACATTAATTTTGGTATTATTAACAAAAATTATAATTAAAAAAAAGCAATATAAGTGAAAATTTAGGTTATCTCTTCTGAGTAAGGTCTGGTTAACCTGATGTAACATATTCAGGTCCTTGAGCTCAGCTAGATTTTATTTTTCCTTCCTTGTATTATTTTCTTATTGTGTCCAATTCCAACATGCTAAGGAGGACAACTCTGCTCATTCCATGGGTGTTCTTAAGGTGACAGCCCAAGGCTGTTTGTGGCGTCTGATCTCTCCCATCTATGCAGGATACTTAAGACAATCTGTGTTCAGGCAGCCTCTTCCCCTCTGCCGCAGAGGACACCATGTCCTGACCAAGGCAGCATCTCATTTGAATCCATAATGTCTTGTTACTAGTGACTACTTGGCTTTATTCTCCTGGATTCTTACCATGAAACTATATCTCCTATATTTTAAATTAAGCTCTATACATTTTTTCTTGTTGTTATCTTCAGTTTTATAATTAAAGATCCTGCCCTCTCTCTTATTGATGTGCTTGTGAAATTATTTTGACCCTAGTATAAAGAATGTGTTCAATCATTGGCTTATTGTAGGACGGGCAGAATTCCTTCTTCTTAGGAATGTTTAAAAGCAGAATCTCCCTTAACATGAAACAACCTATCTTTCCCTGCCAAATTTAGAATATAATCATTGCCAAAAAAAAGACAAATATTTCAAACTTCCAAAGTCATAAAAACTTGTATATCATATAACATTCCTTAAAGTAGTAATATTTTCTTTTAAATAAGCAATTCAATGAGCAATTTGATAACAACTATATAATCCTATCGCTTCCTTTCCTTGAATCTTTCAATAACTCTTCTTTAAGGTCAGAATACTTTTATTTACTTATGTATTTACTTCTTTGTTATAATAAAAGGCCTTTTACTAGCTTGTCACTATCCACTTATATGGCCTTGTGTAATACCACTAGCCCTGCATCCCAATTCAGTCTCCTAATAGCTGTTTTCTTTTGGTCAAGTTATGGTTCTTTTACAAAGGAATATTTACAAATTGAGCATTCCTAATAAAAAAAAAATCTGAACTCCTAAATGCTCCAAAATCTGAAATGTTTTGAGCACCGACATGACGCCGTAAGTAAAAAATTCCACACCTGACCTCACGTGATAGGTCACAGTCAAAACACCATCAAATCTTTGTTTCATGAACAAAGTTACTTAAAATATTGGATAAAATTACTTTCATATACATAAGGTATATATGAAACTAAATGAACGTTGTGTTTAGACTTGAGTGTCATCTTCAAGATATCTTGTTATATATATATAGAAATATTTTAAAGTCTGAAAAACTCCAAAATTTGAAACACTTCTGGTCTCAAGCATTTTGGGTAAGAAATACTCACCCAGTACTGTGTGCTACATACTCTGAGCTATCTGCTGTTTCATGCATTATCTCACTAATGCTCTTTGAGGTGGACACTATCATTTTCTCCATTTCACATATGAGAATACTCTTGAGCTTAGCCTCAGATATAAATACCCACCATGAAGTGGGTTGTGAAGTGAGGGGCCTTACTTACCAATTGCAGTTCACTGCATGATGCAGGCATTGGGGAAAAAGAGCTATTAAAATCACTACTAACCCCAGAAATGATGCATGCCAAATTAATGACTGATACCAGCATGCAATAAGCCTGTAAGTGAATAAAATCAGTGTAATGGCTTTCTTGTATTTTCTTGACCTTTAAAAATTTTCTCATTGCCTTAGGATTGTTTTCAGGCAGGCCTAGAAATAAATATCACGGAACGCTCTGGTTTCTGTATTCCCCTACTGACCTATAAATAGTATTTCACCAAACTGGACATGAGAGAGCTGTTGAGAGTTGTCAAGAGCAGTGATTCAATCTTGGGGAGCACACTCATTATCCAAACCCTTTCCTCTGCTTTCCCCTGAATTTGCGTCTCAGACCCTCTTGTCCACTCATTAATAACTCTCTCACAGCAACTTTTCTGTTTGTCTTCCTCAACTGAGTCAATATCTTTCAAACCTCAAATGGAGATTTTTGCCCAAAACGTTATGTTTCAGTTGATTGGGAAATTCAGAAGTGCTTAAACTTCAGAAATCTATATATAAACATCAAAAGATCTTTTGTTCATATTTTTAGTTCTTCATTTCTCTGGTATGTCTTAAAAAGCAAAAAAACTTAGTCTTTGTTCTTATTAAGCAGACTGGAAGCTTATCATTTTGCTAATCAAAGGAAGAGAATGAGAAATAAAACAGTGCTAAGGGGACATAGTAATGCATTGTTTGAAATTTAAAAGTGAGAGAAAGAAATAAAGGGAGGAGAAAAGGGAGGGGAGGAGGAAGAGAGGAAAGAAGTTAGAAGTGATAGAAAAGAGAAAGAAAAGATAAGAGGTAAAATCCAACTCAGAGGCCATCGCTTTTGTAAAACCTACACTTACCTCGGAAGAAATAAGAACCACTTGCTCAGGGTTCCCAGAATCTTTTTTCCCTTTTTTTAAATTTTGCTAACTTTGTGCACAGCATCTTGTATACTGGTTGCCTACATGTCTTTCTTCTATTATCATAAGTACCCTGAGGTCAAGAATCATGTCACATGCATCTTTGTAAAACCTAAGCATGTTTATAATTCAGTTAAAAAATGCTGAATTGAAGTGTGATGTCCAACTGACAGGGGTGATTGAAGATTACAAATGCCACAGAATTGTTGCTATCATTGTGCCTTATGCTAATTCAATAGCTTGTTTTGTTCACTCAGAGATGGGAAATGTTTCTTAAGGTTTGCATGTTCTGGAACTCCTCACATAAACTGGTTTTGTGCTTCTGATCTCAGGCTCTACAAATCCTCCCCCTCACTCAGGATTGTCAGTCAACAAGATTCATTTAGCCTCTATTGAATGAGGACTAGATTAGGGGCTGAAAAGGTGTAGCAGACCTAGATTTCTTCTTTGGGAAACTCACAATTTAAGGAGGTTAAAAGTAGAAATCAAAATGTTTGTGAGATATTCATATTGACACTATAAACAGGAAGGCTGTTTTTTCTCTCCTTCATTCTGCAATCTATATAAAATTGTATTCTCATTGTCTATCCTCCAAAAATTACTTGCATTATCAATTTCTCAATTTCTACCTGGCTATTTTCCCACCCATATGCTTCCAAACATTTCTAATCTGGTCACTACACAAAAAAAGAATATGTGGAATTACATTGTTGGCAAAGACTTGAATTATATAGTCCAAAATGGTTTTTCAATGAACAGGAATAACTCCTTTCTACAGTAATAATCTCTACCCAGGGGAGTTCAAAGAGTAATGCTCATTTGCATACTACAATGGAGTAATACTATTTTAGTATTACTTAGAAGTTAGAATTTAGTATTCCTTAGTTCTCAATATTTAGCTTTATTTAGTCATAACTATTGAGTAATACTAAATAGGAGGCTTGTTTAGGAAGTGAAGAGTTTAGTAGGAAGTGTAAGAGTTTTAATTCCCTAGAAATCCAACAAGATTTTCCAGAAAGCACATTTTCAAACTCTTCTTTTATTCTTTTCCAAAGCCAGCGATAAGAACATTTGCTTCAAGTCTTTGAACTCTGAGCTCACATTTATTCAGTAGTCTATATTCCCATATGATCATATTAACATTGACCTAAATTGTAGTCACATTTACATTGACATATATGTTTCTTTCTTTCTTTTCTTTCTTTCTCTTTCTTTCTTCTCTCTCTCTCTCTCTCTCTCTCTCTCTCTCTCTCTCTCTCTCTCTCTCTCCTCTCTCCTCCTCTCTCTCTCTCTCTCTTTCTTTCTTTCCGGAGCAAGGACATCTTTCTTAAGACAGCCTCACCCAGGAGAGGAGGCTGTGGGTTTCAGAATAAAATAAACTACGGAAAAATCCAGTTGTGTGGAGACACTTACATTGAAGTCATACAACACACCAAAGTTGGCTGCCGATGCCTCTTCGGCCCTGGGAACTGTTTTCCTAGGTAAACTGCCATATGGCAAACCCCAGAGGTACTGTATAGGGAAGCAAAAAAAGCAGAGAACAATTAGAAACAAAATCTGAGGCACACATGAGATCACAAATGGTTTTGCTTAAAAGTCCTTCTGAAACATTTTCATGGGGGACTCTGTGGGTCTCCATGTGGGGTCCCATTTTCTGGGAATCAACTACTAAATCCAGAGGTAAGAACAAAGGGAATGCAAAGGACTCTGCATTCTGAGTTCAGGGACCACCAGCAGTCAGGTCAACCACATTCCCCAGAGGGCTTTCTGAGGACCCCACTGCTACCACCACCACCAAACCATTCTGATTAAAAGTCTGGAAAGGAAGAGAAGTAGCCTTTCGGGTCACATAGGACTGAACAAAACCATCTTACCCACACCTTCATGTGAGAATAGTCCTTAGGAGTGAGGGTGGAGGGAGATTCTGTCCTTCAAATCAAGAAAGAGAACTCAAGGGAAACCAGTCATGAAATTTGTGGGTGTCTGCAAAGTGAGAACACTTGCACCCTGATTATGGTGTGTGCTTCATCACTAATTCAGGGCTGCTGCCTCCAATTCGTGCTACCAGATTGGGAGAGAAACCTAGTAGAGAGAATAGTACTGGGGAGAGTGGGCCAGTGAGCAGGCAAGAATAGGGTCATAGGAAGGTGCCCTGGTGAGAAGTGGAAAGAGCACTTTCTAGCCCCATAGCTCACCAAGCAGATGTTGCTTCTTCAGTGAGATAGAAACTTCCCTCCTAAAGCTGGGAACAGAAGATGAATGTGGCTTGAAGCCAGGGTACAGAGCTTGACTGAGCAAGGGCTGGACATGAATCTCTGCTCACTTCCTGAGCACAAGTTGCACAATCTCCCCAAGTAGACCTTTGGCCCATCTGGCTTCCCGGTCCTGAAAGAATAGAGGGTGGGTTCCACACATATTATCTCACCCCAAAGTTGGGGGGCACAGAAGACAAAGAAGATTAAGGTCTTAGGCTTGCCCAGGGACACAGGACCTTGGGGCAAAAGGGCATGTGCCTTGGAGGAAGATTGAATGAGCCTGTCAGGTAGAGGCAGTTGAAAAAAATACAGCCTTGCTGCCAGGAGATGACTGCCCTGGTCGCTGTGGTTTTGCACAGTCAGCATGCAGGGTGTCCATTCTCTTGTCCTTTGGCTGGAGTTGGTCATCATTGCCTAGAAAACAGGATGCCCCTCAGCATCTAATACAGCCTATAAAAGAGTATCCGAAGCCAGCATGCTCCCTAGCTCTTGGAATACATCAGCCTAACAAAAAGGCACTCTATCTACTACATAGAAGACACTCTGTAATTTCATATCATTCAAATAAATCAGTGACAGCCTTTCATTTTCTCCACATGGAGGCAGCATGGTGTGGGGGAAAGAGTAAATGCCGCTGATAAAACTCCATTTATACCTGCATCTGACACTAAGTAATGTCATAGTAGCTAGTGATGGAATGGAGGAGTTTAAGGTTTCCTTAGAGAGGTAATATAAAAAAAAAAAAGCTGGGGTTAATTTGAAAGAGATAAAATACCCACATTCAGCTGCACTGCCTGAAAGTGTGTACTTGGGAAATAAACTATACAGGACCTCTGATCTTTGGTCACTGTCTTCTATGAGCCAGACAACTTTATAAGCCCTGGAATTATCTCAAGGATTATAAAACTAGTGGATTAAAGTGCAGAATCTTGGGGAAAGGGATTGAATCATGGGTTCTAGTCCTAGATCCACTTCATTAAAAAAAAAAAAATCATTCAGAGATGTTAGCTAAGTCACATCAGCATTATGTGACTCCATTTACATGTTTTAAATGGGGGAAGAAAATGTCTTCTACAGTCTACATCATAAATTTGTTGTGAGGCACAGAAAGTAAAAGAAGTGAAAGTGCTTTGTACTATTACAAGCTCAAATCTCGTTATGAATGTAAAGCATTATGATGATGCTAATGGGAGGCTCAGTACAGAAACTGGCACTGATTTGAAGTTATTGCGATAAAAAGTCACCCGAAAGACCAAATTTTGGCTGCTGTCAATGCTGTATGGACCAAATTGGCTTTGAAATACTAGTCCTAAAAGGTCCTTTGTAGGTTAAACAAAACCTAGTCCAACTTTTGTGAGGTAAGCATTCAAAGGCATCAGAATCATTTAATTTCATATGGGTGAAGGCTCTGACCTCAAGCTAGCGACCCCACTTCCACTCTCATCCCATCCCACTATATGTGTGTATGTGTGTGTGTGAGTGTGTGTGTGTGTGTGTGTGTGTGTGTGGTGGGCATTATCTTTATATCTTAGGGGGAACATGTTCATTTTGTGTTTCTTCAGTATAGAAAATCTGAATGCTTTGAGTCACATTAAAGAAGCATTTCTTTCAAAGCTAACTTGGCAAAATAAATAAATACAACTCACAAGGTGTCAAAGTCTTCCTCGGGAATGATATTAACGTTTAGGAACACGGACCCCCTTGGGAAACTGAAAGAAGCCATGAAATTTTCCACATAAAGGTGCACATTTAAACATTCATGTGAAATTATACATAAGTTGTATAATTTCAGGAGGCTCACACACCCTTTGGTGCAAGGATTGGGACCTTTGGCCCATGGGCACCATTTTGAAGATTAATCTCATTACAAATCCTATGACTCTAAGAGGTGAACATAGCCAATTAATTATTCTACTCTTAAAGAAAAGATAAATCCTTTTCTAGGAGAAACATTTTTCAGCACGTTTTGTAAGCTGGAAGTCAGATCTCACCTCTGGCAACATGATGAGGCTGAACGTCAGGATAAAGAGAACCATATTGACTCCATACATCCATCTCAAGAAGAGGAAGTATGAGGCCACTGAGGAGCCAAACTGACCTATTACAAAGAAAATAAAACGTTTGAAGGGAGATCAAAGCAAACAAACAAAAAAGAGCTTTGTCTTGGTTGCCTTCCAAAACAAATCTATTAATAGTGAGACATCGGTCCTTTTTATATGTAAAGCTACAGCATTCTTTTCTCTCTATTCAAGAAGAGAAAATGTTAATCATGATGGAAGCATTCCCTGTCATGTGGAATGTAGGAGGTACGCAGAATGCAGTTGTGCAGACTGCGTGTGACCTGCCGCATCAGAGTCCATCCAAGGAAAAGCTGCCTTTTGCTGAGCAGCCATGATTGCCACCTGCAGAGTGCATTTTATTCCTTGAGTTAATACTGAGAAGTGAGCAAATATATGTAAAGGTAACTACAGTGCCTAGCTAGTAATTAGCTACTACTATAATTATAATTACTGCTATTTTCTACCCTTTTTCTCGGGCAAACAACGTCCTTCTCAAAAAAAGTTTACCACATCCTTTACAAATAGTTATCTTACCAACAGTCTCTTGCTGTTTCCCCGATTACTGGAATTTTACAGGGGTGGTGTAGAAGCTGAAATTCATTCATTCATTCCATACATCTTATGCCAGAAATTATCTTAGATATGAAGCACAATGTCATAGGTAGGGTGGCTGCTACAATAGAACTTACATTTTAGTGAAGTATGGAAATAGCAAATATGTAAGATACATAGAAAGACATTGAGATAGAGATATAGACATTAGATATAGATACAGATGATAGGAGATAGAGATAGAGATAATAGCAGGTCCTACAGGAGAGAAGGGAAAGTATTGAGAGGGGTTGCTTTAGAAAGGTTTGTCAAGGAAAGAATATCAGAGATGTCATCTAAGCAGAGATCTGAAGTTTGAGGAAGAGACAGCAACAGGCTGAATTGCGGAAGAGCAGCTCAAGCAGAGGAAAGAGCCAGAACAAAGATCCTGAGTGGCAAGGGCTCGGGACAATTGAGGAATAAAACTCAGACCTGTGCAGTTGGAGTATATGAATGAGGGAAAGTGGTGACAGATAAGGATGGAGAGGCCAAACCACAGTGTGTGGGGCCTCTTAACACATGGTAAAGAGTGAGAATTTTATTTAAAATGTAAGAAGTCATTGATAGGTGTTAAGCCTTAGGGCCAGAGGAAGGGGTGATGAGCATGACTTTTAAAAAACCATTTCAGTTTTGGGGAATCAACAGGCAATAGGCAAGAATGTTCAGTCAACTCACCCATGTCCTCCAAAGTGAAAAGCAAAGTGATTGGTTAATTCTTATTGACAGAAAAAAATAAAAGCATCTTCTTAAAGCAGAGAATGGAAGAAGAAAAATCAAGAATTTAAGTCTTAGGTTCAGATTTCATAGATTTAAGAAAGCAAATGTTTCTTTGATGGTCATTTCAGATTCGGCACCAAGTTGCTAGTTTTTCCGATCTTCCAGATTATCGTTGTCAGTTGCTCAAGAAAAAAAAACAAATCATTTCAGTTCCGGGCTGCATCAGCCCATGTGTTCTGTCTCATTCGGCTAAACATCTCTATTGACCAGTGATTTTCTGGAGCCTTCTAGCATTGAAATATTATCAGTGGGGAAGCATTATCAATGAAAATGAAGTCTTATGGGGAGCAAATTCCAGCCTCTACTTACTTAGATAAGGCTGACCATTTAGGACAGTAATGCCTCTATTTCTGGGCATTTGTCTATTCATTTTTCTTTCTTTCTTTTTTGTGACAGAGTTTTGCTCTTGTTGCCCAGGCTGGAGTGCAGTGGTGCAAACTTGCCTCACTGTAGCCTCCACCTCCAGGGTTCAAGCAATTCTCCTGCCTCGGCCTCCTGAGTAGTTGGAATTACAGGTGCCCACCACCAGGCCCAGCTAATTTTTTGTATTCTTAATAGAGATGGGGTTTCACCATATTGAGCAGGCTGGTCTCTAACACCTGACCTCAGGTGATCCACCCGCCTTGGCCTCTCAGCCTCCCAAAGTGCTGGGATTGCAGGAGTGAGCCCCCATGCCTGTCCCTTTTGTCTATTCTTTACATATCATCTTTCTTATTCCCATAACTCAGTGGCAGTTTTTTTAGAAAGAAGTCAATCTGGCCAGGCATGGTGGCTCACACCTGTAATCCCAGCACTATGGGAGGCCGAGGTGGGCAGATCATGAGGTCAGGAGTTTAAGACCAGCCTGGCTAAAATGGTGAAACCCCATCTCTACTAAAAATACAAAAATTATCTGGGCGTGGTGGCACGTGCCTGTTATCCCAGCTACACTGGATGCTGGGGCAGGAGAATCCCTTGAACTCAGGAGGCGGGGGTTGCAGTGAGCCAAGATTGTGCCACTGCACTCCAGCCTGGGTGACAGAGTGAGACTCCATCTCCAAAAAAAAAAAAAAAAAAAAAAAAAAAATTCAATTGTTAAATTGATATTTTAGAAGAAATAAATGATTTTGAAGTCTGAGAATTTTTCTTTATGCTCAAAAGAGAATTTGGGATTTCACATTGTCAAGGAGTGCAGAGTTCTATAACGTTTTAAGGGTGTGTGGTTTTGATAAACAATCCCACCCCACTCCATGCCAGTGCTGTCACCAGGTGCACTGGTCTGCTTCTCCTAGGAAATCTGATCACCCACCTGGCTCCCAGTGACTTCATACCATTTCATGGCTGTTATCTACATTCTCTGGTAACAGCTACCTGATGGCTGCTCAGCCAGGTTCACTCATCATGTTTTATTGAAGGCAGTGGATTCCCAGTTTGTTACTCATTACAATTACTCATTTACTGGAGGAAAGCCTTGGTGGCTAGGTATTAAGATTTTCCCTGGAATCACATGTGAGATCTTCCAGTATAAAGTCCCGCATATAGGATTCTAATCCCTTCCTTCTTTCCTTTCCTTTTTTCCTTCTATTTTCTTCCTTCCTTCCTTTCTTCCTTCCCTTCCTTCCTTCCTTCCTTCCTTCCTTTTTACAGTTTTGCTCTTCTAATTATTGTCACAGCCCATCCTCTCAGCACCTACATACAAACCCTGGCAAATGAGTTTCTTGAGTATAGAGTACAAATACACCTAAATGCAAAAGAGGGTAGTGGATTAAGATGTTTCAGAAAGTATCCCCTCCTCCAACATGCCTATGCATTATAATGAAATATACTTTAGAATCCAAAACTTCCAAACTCCATTTCTCAGATTTGACGGTAGTTTCACAACTATTTTATTTGGAGGTTGAATCTTTACAGAATCCTAAATGTAAAGAAAATGAATGCAGGCAAACAAATTTCATTAAAACTAGAATGATTTCAGGAAAAACCCAGACACAGGTGGAGGAAACTAAGAAATCCAGAGACAAAATTTCTTCTACACTAGACCTGTCAATGGCAGAAAAGAAAGAACAGTAACAAAACAAACGCAGATCTTAAAGGAGAGAAAATTTAAAAACGGGTTGTCATCAAAACTCCAGTTTTTCCTGCCTCCACACAAAAATAAAAATAAAGAAATTTTCCCTTCTTATCCCTTTTGCCTAGTGGTTCTATCCTACCAGATATTGTTGACTAAAACTGATGTTCATTAAAAAGAAATGCCTGATTATAGTGTGGCTAAAAGAATAGCAATTCCTTCATACTTAGTCTTCAAACTGATTTACTTGTGTAAGGAAGCAAAATGAGTAATAATAATAATAATAGCTAGCATATCTTGATGGTCATTTATGTGTACCAAGAACTTTATCAGTATCAACTCATTATGCTGTCACTAAAACTTAATGAGGTTAAGTATTATTAGTCCCACTATGAACTGGGAAACAAAAACTTAAACATGGTAGTTAATAATAGGTAACATTTAATGAATCTTTATTTCAAACACCAATTTGATCTGTATGTATTAACTTACTTAATGATCAGCAAATCCCTTTGAGATGGGAACTACTGTATTCCCATTTTACAGAGGCTTAGGTCTATAGGTTACACAGCTAGTAAATGAGGCAGCCGGGCTTCTAAACCAGGCAGTCTTGAGCTATAGGCGTTTGACTCCAAATCTAGAACACTGCTATATGGCCCCTTAAGTAAAACAGAGTTCAATTAATTTTCTTAAAATTATGATATATACAATAAATATGCAATGGACATGTGTGTCTGAAACAACAGGTATAGATAATATCCATCAATCAGCTAAAGCCAGTCAAATTCACAAATATGATGCTCACAATGACCAATTCTTTTTTCTTTAATCAGACTGATAAATGCTGCTCTCACAGTAAATTATTAATTTATAAAAACAGAGCCTCTGATATGTATTAAACTGAGGCTTTATGCTTAGGCGTATTCTTGGTCCTGAATTTTTTCATTTCTTTCAAGTTAAAGTTAAAATTTCAACTCTCTTTCTGGTTATTTATTATTAAGGCAAAGTGATTTGTAGTCTGTCATAACACATCCTTTCCCCTTGAACAGATGGGTAATAAGACAAGCAGATAAATATGAGCATTTCTAAATGGGAAAAGACCAATTAAATGACCTGCTGTGTGACTACAATCTAAATACCATCATGTTAGGCTAGGATATGAAGCACAATTTTTTCAAACCATTTAGGGGTAGGGAATTAAAAGTGACAAATTTGATTTGTATTTTCTAGAGTGCTTAGGGCAGCAAGGAAACATAAGGTTTAGGCCCTGTGCTTTGTATTTCCTATCCAAAGCTATTTCCAGTCTGAAAAAAATAGGTTTCTAACACCATAATTTTGATGATGTAATCTATTATTAGGAAAAAGCAGATTTTGATCCTGAGAAACATTTGTAATTACCAGCTAGAAATACATTCAGTTATTTAATTTATGGTCTTAACAATAATGTTGGCATCACAATGGGTATAGATTATTTTTCCTGGGAGTACAAATATGCAGTTACTTTAGAAAAATGTGCAATTCAATTAGGTTAATAAGATGTGTCCACAAGAGTAACCCTTGAGTTTTAGGCATGATCTTTTTAAGGCTGACATGATAGTAAAACTCCATAATATTCCCATGTGATGCATAACTTCACAATATCTTCTGTGGCAGGAATTATCAGATCTATTCTTTAAGTAAAAAGAGTTTGGAGTCATCAGGTGAGAATCCACTTCACGCTAATAAAGAGATCTAGGTCTTACTGGAATCAAGATGGAAACAGTATGAATTTTAGACTCTGATTTGAGTTCCACTCTTGATTCTGAAAATTATTGGACAGAGCTTTGGGGAAATTCAGTGAAGGCTGTTAATTTTGGACTCCTTTAAAACCAAATTTTATAATATTAGTTCAGTATTATTTAGACATTGAACAGAGGGTGTGACAAGGTGGATTAGAAACGCTGTTGGGAATAGAAGGCAACAGCTCCTCTTTTGTCCAATCCACTTACTAAAATCCACAATTACCATCAGTATTTATCTGCTTATAATTCCCCATCCAAGCATACACATATCAACCCATTTGGATGTAAGATTAATGAGTGTAGAGTCTTTGTGTGTCTTTATCAGCAGCGATGGTGCCTAGAAACACACCGAAGGAGACGTGTTAGGCATCCAGAATTTGCTCAGTTCATCAATAATGTCAGGCTTATTCCGAGGATTTAACAAGATATATATTAAATGATTCTGATGTCCATAAGGAATATAATGGTATTTCTGAAGCTTTTGTAAGATTAAATGGCCATTTATTTAAGAGAAAAGAATTTATATTAATTTTATAATTAGATATATATTCTATAAGTAGTGTACATAGTTAACAAACTTTATTTTGAAGAGAATTTGAGGAGGCAATTATACAGTTCTCTCTTCGTATAAGTCTGTTTTGCATTTAAATATTTGAGGACTTATCAAAAGTATGAATTAATGAATTTCACATGCCTACATATACATGTAAAACTGACTGTAACTTATACATCATAGAATGCTGAGCTGGAAATACTTTTGTGTAGTGATTCATTAAACCCAAGATGGTGTAGCAGCCCCAAATGTAGAAACAGAGGACCAGAGATTTAAACAGATTGTCCAAACTATAGAGCTGGCAGGGGTCAAAAAGTCCTCAACCCTTAGAAAATCAATTGCATGTCCTACTTCTTCCCATTTGTCATTAAGTTCAGTTTCAAAGACCATCACATTTTTCAACCTAATACTATAGCGCAAATCTCATAATTATCATTAAAATCTTAGTACATTAAGCATCTTATAGAATATAAAACATAAAATTAAATAAATCACTCACTCAAAAGTAAATACATGAGAAAATGAAAAATAATTCTTTGATAACGATCAAGAAAATCTATAACTACTCATCCTGCCATTGGCCTGGTAGAATACTTTTTAGGAACTAGTGCAAAACATATTTAAAAAGAAAAAGTGTATAAAACCTTCCCCAAAGGAAAAAGCAGCATAACACATGGAAAAGCATACGTTTTTGAACTCAGACAGATTTTTCCTTATATCTCAGCTCTGCTACTAATTCTGGGACAATTATTTAACCACAACGGTAAAATAGGAAGGTTAATGTTCACATTGCAGGAATATTGAAGGTTAAGTGAAATAATGTTTGTAGAGCGTCTGACTGATGGTAGCACTCAATAAATGGTGGTTTGGTGAATACTGATAGAATAAAAAATAAAGCTCATTCTTCACAGTTGAGACAAAGCACCATTAACAGCGAAGAAGTCATGACAAACTAATCAAATCATAAATTATATATGGAAAGCAAAATAATCCACATTTGCCTGAATTTTCCAGCTTGGCTTTCCAAATTTACTAGAAGAGGAGAGGAGATAAGTGAAGGTTATTATTGGATAGCTCTCAATCTGTCTTTTCCACTGTGACATTCATGATGGATGGTGGTCATATGTGTAATTCTTGCTGCATGCAACTTCTGGCAATAAAAATAATTCTGTCTGTTTCTGTTTCACTGGATATGGCTGACTGGAACACAAACGAGCACGATATTACTATAAAGATAGGCTGGCACCTACTCTAGTGTGCTTTAAAAATAATTTTCAAATGTATGTGTTTACCAATCATTAATTACAAATTTCTTGGGATAGATATAACAACTGATCAAGACTCAGCCCTATAATTTTATAAATTAGTAGACTGAGGTCCAGAGGGGTTAAATGACTGGCTCCAAGTCAAACAGCTAATCTGCAGCAAAGCAAAGACCAACTTCAGAGTTCTTACCACATGGATTGTATCAGGATCTTAATATTCCAAACGGCCTTTTGTTTCTCAATGCCTCTCAAGCTACCACATTTGAGCTGTACAGTTGAAACCTAAGAAATCCATGATGTTTGCTCTTTTTTGATGTGTCTGAATTCCTTTCTTTTTTTCCTAGAATGGTAGACATTTAGAGAGTTTGTCTGTAATTTTATTCAATACACATTTATTAAGTGCCAAATGGAATCCAGGAGTGAACAAAATTAAATGTCCCCTATTGGGAGAAATGAACGTAAAATAAAATGAATTAAGATTACATCAAAAAATTAAATTAAAGATACAGTATTTTAGATAGCTGTGTTAAAGAGAAAATTCAAGCAGGAAAGAAATGGCATCAGGAATGTGTGGAAGGGGATACAGTTAATGAGCTGATGTATTTTAATTCACTGCCACTTAATAATTGTCATCCGATATTGAAAGATAGGGAATCGAAGATTAGCCACTCCTAAAACATGTCCAATCATGTCAGCAAGCTATCCATCAGCTGTGTTATCTCCCTATGGAGCCTCCATTTTAATTATACAACACCACACTTAACCAGCAGGAAAACCTGCCTCCAATATAGAGAGGAATGGATAAAAATCAGATCCTAGTTGAAACCGTTAAAACCAGAATGTGGCAAGATTGTGCTCAAAATAGTTTCAAGTGTTAGCCCTTCTTTTTTAGATTCCTTGTTATTTTTTTAAAAATTTACTATTTTTATTTACAATATTTTAAAATTTGTATTTGCCTTATTCTAAGCCTAGAGCACTGAACTAAATAGATTTTTGATTGGCTGCATTCTCCTTCCTTCTTTCCTATGAATATTATACAAAATAAAGGCACAATGTGAATATTCAGATAGCAAGTTCCTGGATGACTATTGCTTATTCTACTTCAGAGATTTAAAAATGAGGTTTTAAGACTTCTCTTTCTTTCTTTCTTTCTTTCTTTCTTTCTTTCTTTCTTTCTTTCTTTCTTTTTCTCTCTCTCTCTCTCTCTCCTCTCTCTCCTCTCTCCTCTCTCTCTCTCATCTTTCTTTTTTTTTTTAACACTCTTCCTGTCACCCAGTATGAAGTGCAGTGGTTTGACCTTGGCTCACTGCAACCTCTGCCTCCCAGGTTCAAGTGATTCTCTTCCCTCAGCCTTCCGAGTAGCTGGCACTACAGGCTCTTGCACCAGGCCCGGCTAATTTTTTGTTTTTAGTAGAGACGGTGTTTCATCATGTTGGCCAAGCTGGTCTCGAACTCCTGATCTCAAATGATCCACCCCCCTCAGTCGCCCAAAGTAATAGAATTACAGATATGAGCCACCGTGCCCAGCCTAAGACATCTTCACATTTTAAAACATTGTTCATTTTGATTACTATCTAACATTCATGAGTGTATATTCTCAATGTCATGTTCATTGCCAAAATAAAATCTCTGCCTTTCAAATAAGACGGCTCAATATCATTGTGCACAGCAGTGACTTCCCTGTACAGGAAAGAAAATCAGGTTAGAATGGTAATGTTTCGGACTAAGGTAGAACATGAGAGTGGGGTCCCTAGTGTTGTCCTTGGTTAAGTGCTAGCAAATCTTTACAATGACCAAAGCAGTCACAAACAACACTTTTGTTTATTTGGTTGTTTTTGTTTGTTTTTTTCCAGTCTTCCCAAAGTCCAGAAACTGAGAAAGGCATCTGATAAGCTTATAAGATATTTTTCTAAGACAACCTTCTCCATCTGAGATCCAATGAGCACTTACTTTCAATAGCCTTGATTTTATTTTCCCATGGGATACATGCAGCTTTGAAGTTCTCAAAATCACGGAGGAATTTTGCCCATTTCTGAAAAGAAGGTCAGATACAACAGTAAAGTCCAGTCTCTTGATTTGTGAAGATGTTTATCCCCCCATCTCACAACATTACAATGCAATGAGCTTGGAAAAAGGTCTCTCTGGCATCAAATACTGCTTTCTAGTCAAAAGGGGAAACAGTAGATTTCACTCGTTTCCCTGTTCTCCACTAACCACAAACCAATTTAATTCAATAAAAATAATGCTGATCAATCCCCTATGTTATGGGACATATGCTGACCACTCAGAAAGAGCTACTTTACTCTGTAAGACAGTAAGAAAGCAGGGAATTAGTTAGCACAAAATAGGGTGATCGGAACAGAGTGTGCGTTTAGTATTCATGGTATGGAGGACTCAATATGAATAAATTTTATTTTCTGTCTTTTATTTCCTGGTCCTGTCTTGAAAGCCTTCTGATCTTTTAGAGTAGTTTGTGTACAAATAGGTGAGTTCAATACAGAAGAGTAAGTTTTATGGCATGAGACGCTTCAATCTGGTAGAGGCAGAGTAGTCAGTTTAATGGAAAGAGAAGAAAACAAGTCAAAAATTCATTTTACAAGAGGTCTTCCTTCTATTTAACTCCAGTGTTGGGTTATCCATGGTCAAGAGGACCATTGGGAAGAATGAGAATGTGGCAGAGAACTTTGCATGTGTGCATATCGTGCTGGGATGATGTGGGTGCTAGATAGGCACTATTGTCTAAATAACAGCACAAGTCTGAAGTTCAAAAAATTATCCACTTTTTTTTCCATCTGCCTTCTCCAGTGGAACCACCACCAAAACACAGATTTTCTTTAAAAACCCTTATGGCAAAGACCATCACTTTAGAGTTTAAACCCTGGGATACAGTAGAAAATGCAAAGTCCAAGATCTAGGATAAGATAGGAATACCTATGGATCAGCAAAGACTGATCTTTGTTGACAAGAAACTGGAATATGGATGTGCTTTGTCTGAATACAACCTTCAAAAGGAATTTACTCTTCATCTTGTGTCAAGACTTCATGGTGGTGCTAAGAAAGGGAAGAAGTCTTACACCACTCCAGAGAAGAGTAAGCATAAGGAAAGGAAGGTTAAGCTGGCTGTTCTGAAATACTATAAGGTGGACGAAAATGGCAAAATTAGTCACCTTCATCAAAAATGCCCTTCGGATGAACGTATTGCTGGAGATTTCATGGCCAGCCATTTTGACAGACTTTTTTGGGGGTTGGGGGTAGGGGACAGAGTCTCGCTTTGACCCCAGGCTGGAGTGCAGTGGTGCAATCTCGGCTCACTGCAATGTCCACCTCCTGTGCTCAAGCGATTCTCCCGCCTCAGCCTCCCGAGTAGCTGGAATTACAGGCATGAGCCACCATGCCCGGCCAAGAGACATTATTGTAGCAAATGTCCGGATTACTGTTTCAACAAACCAGAAGACTAATAATTGTGTATGAGTTAGCTTTTTAAATGAACAGAAAAAGCATAACCAGAAACAGCCACAATGACCATCTACAAAAGAATGGGTAAATAAATTGTTGCGGCATCTTTATACAACAGAATACAACACATGAATAAAAATAAACTATGACTTCCACAGCAACATGGATATATCTTGTGAACATAACATTGCATCAAAGAAGCCAGAAACAAACATATAAATACTATATGACTTCATTTATTTAAACTGTAGAAGCATACAAAATTAATCTATTGTATCTATATATATATGAAAGTTAAGATATATGAACTTTATTCACAAAACTTTATGGGAATACATTTAGCTTACAGTTGGTATAACATTTGTAAAGAGGAGATAATAATATCTATGTTCCTACTTTACTGTAAGAATTAAATATAACTTTATAAAAGATTTCAATTCAGTGCTTGGCACATAGCAAGTGTTAAATAAATGTTAGTTGCTTTTTTGTCTTTCCCCAAAATCTATATTTGTATCAGTGTATCGTTTATTTTTTTCTTATTTTCTATCCAGTGTATAGTTAATGTTCCCGGTAGAAAACAGCTATACAGACACTTCAAGAAAAACAACTTGATGAGAACCCCTTCACTTCCAGAGAACGAAAATGAAAAAGGACGCAATCTTTTATATTTGGAAGTGCTAAAGTCACACAAGTAAGTCTTTTGCCATAAATCTGTATTTTTTTACTTATTTTACATTTTAACTCCACTAAGGACAATTTTTTAAATCTCCCCTGTAAACTTCAATACCACAGATAGGCTGTGTATATGCTGTACTAGTATTTGTGCTTTATATATACAAATGCAGGATTTTTTTTCACCCCTTTAGATTTTTTTTCTCCCAATGTTCTCTTTCTTAGGGACAATAGGCTATAAACCAGACAACTATAAGAATACCTACCTTGGCCATCATCATCTTAAATGCAAACCACCGTTTTCCTTTTCCTTTCCCAAGAGCCCCTTCATTTTCACTCACAAATTTTTTTGCTTCCCTGAGAAAATAAAACAACATAAGAGATAAAAGGAGGTGAGTTGCAATGACTAGAATATAGAAGTAGTAGACATTTAATTTTACCAGGTCTGCAGTCTTATTTTTTCTAGATCCTCCATAAGTGAACGTAGACCTGCATTTCATAACCTAGAGATTTTCAATGCATGCTTAAATTTTTAAATTCTGGCTAGGAAGAGTAAGATATTTTAGTCTCACTTATTAATCAGCTGGAATCATTGAAAAGGAATTTGTGCTAAGTGTCAAATACAGAACCCTAGGTCTTTTCATTTTTACCACATGTAAAATTGAATCTGAAGTTTACATCAGATTCTGGCAATCAAATGTTTATTTTAAAATATGTCCTTTTTTTTTTTTTAATGATTCTTTTAGAAAAAAAGAAAAGGGCAGAGAGGTTAGGACAAACTGACATAGAACACACTTAATGACCTGGTACTTAATCCTGTTTAAAAAAAAAAAAAAAAAAAACAATTATGACCGAAAACAGAAAAATCATCCTGTAAATGGGGTTGAGAAGAGAAAGACAGAAAAGGAATACTTTTGGCCTCACATTCAGAAAGGGCTTTAAATTTAAACTTTAACATTACTGCCCAATATTTATACATCTAGTTGCATTCATTTCTTTGGTATGCATAATAAAAAAACATTAATTCATCAAAACATAATGCAAGCATGCTATGTACACTGTAATTTTTGTGACCTTGTTTGGTCATTGTTATAGAATGAATGTTTGTCCCTATCAAAATCTGTATGTTGAAATCTAATTCCCAATGTGATGGTATTTGTAGATGGGGCCCTTAGGAGGTAATCAGACCGTAAGGGTAGAATCCTCACGAATGGAATTAGTGCCCTTATAAGTAGTGGCCAGAGAGCTAGTTAGTCCTGTTTCCACTATGTGAAGACACAAAGAGCCAGCCATCTGCAACCTGGGAGAAGGCCCCTGCCAGAGCCCAACCATCCTGGCACTTAGATTTCACACTTTCAGCCTCTAGCACTGTGAGAAATAAATACCTGTTGTTTAAGTCACATGGTCTTGGTAATTTTTTCTATCAACCTGAACTGACTAAGACAGTCATTTTTGTTGTTGTTTGTTAAAATTTACCAAAAAAAATTTACAAAAAAGTAAATGACAAATAGAGCCAAGCCAGGCTTCTCTTCGCCTCTCGGGGGCTGCAGAACATATTATTTATGTGACAGAGCAGCCTCTTTTACGACAGGAACAGATAACCCAAGCCTGGATTGTGGTTCCACAAGTGCAATGCTGTCCTTAGTTGGATGGCTCCTGGAATGTGTGGTTTTATAGACAAGACCCTGCAACATATGACTATAATTAAACTCCTATGGGTCTCACTGGGCGAGGTGGCTCATACTTGCAATCCCAGGATTCAAGACCAGCCTGGTCAACATGGTAAAACCCCTTCTCTACTAAAATTACAAAAATTGACCAGTCGTGGTGGTGCGTGCCTATGGTCCCAGCTACTAGGGAGACTGAGGCAGGAGAATCACTTGAACCTGAGAAGTGGAGGATGCAATGAGTTGTGATTGCGCCACTGCACTCCAGCCTAGATGACAGAGCGAGACTCTGTCTCAAAAAAAAAAAAGAAGGGTCAGTGAAGAATTTTTTTGTAAGATATTCTTTAGTATCAGTGCCAAACTCAGGATTTTGCAATACAGAGTGACCGAAAAACAGCACACACCTGCAGACTTAACTGATACTAGGGAATGGAGCATAATTTCTCATCTGTACATATATACTGTGGCATAAAAAACACAGGCACAGTGGTAAAAATTCTCTTCAGTCATTAGACAGAACTCTCAAATCAGTTTCTTGATAGTAGAAACAATATCTTGTCTTGTTGAATCTTCATAGCAATGACCATTGCATTGACCACAGTGAGGGTTTAATAAATGTAAACTTTCTAGAAATAGAGCTGATTGACATAGCTTGGGGTAGATGTAGACAAGGGAGTATCTAATAATTTTATTTTCCACATTAATTAATGCTTGAAAGCAAAGTCGTTTCCAACTTTGGGATTGCACCCTTTATCGTTAATCTTCTCTGACACTCAATGGATAGGCTAGACTGGCCTTGTTGTCAAACATCCTGACACTTGACATGACCTCTGTGCTGGTAAGATTCATTAAAAAGCAATTTCTAAAGCCTTTTACACATTCTAAAATATCCAATAAAGCAATGGCAAAAATTAGAAACTGAGTTCTCACGGCTGGGTTTTTAGATCTCCGCAATGAAGAAAACACGGCCTATTTAAGCATTAACAATGTGTTGCAGAGGTGATCAGACAGGCGGGAGGATGGCAGGCAGCAGGTACTTTCTGAGATGGTGAACTGAAGCCTCTAAACAGACAATCAGGTAAGATGGGTTCTAATCCCATCTCTGGGATCTGTCTCTATGACCTTGCCCATGTTTTTGATGCTCTTTGTCCCACATACATGAGGGTCTGCCTTTTCAGAGGAAAGCACACCTGCCTCAAACTCACACAGACCTAGGAAGGTCTGACACAGATTCCCTGAGTTACTATGTGACTTTTAATAGGTCAGGATTTCCCAGAACACAAACAAATGGTCAGGCAATTGCAGCCCTGCTTGCTAAGGTGGTGGCAAGAACAAGGTGGGATCATAGGTGTGCAAGTGTTGAAGGGGTTATTACACAGTCAATTCTATGGTAATGCTGGTTGAGAAACCATGAACTTGTTCTAACATGATTGATATATTACAGAACAATTTTGTCATAACACAAGTTTTGAGTTTGCTTATGTGTGATTCTATCCACAAGAAACTCCAGGTGAATGCAGAAAACTGCAACCAGCTAAACTAAGCAGTGTAGGAATACACAAAATACACACATCTCATCCATCAGAAACTGCACTTCCTCACAGAGGTAGAAAAACTGTATCTGCTCACAACTGGGACAGCAATTACCCTCCCTCCATACTTCTCAAATTCTCACAAGCTGTAACCCTTTTGAAGGCCAACTTCCACAAGGAAACTAGGTCTTTTTCAAATACACTGCCATGTTTATTGTAAATTTCTTAACCATTAACATGTATAAAAATTTGCTGTTGTTGTTACTAAATTCCCATATTTTTTGTAATGTGTCACTAGTGATTTTTCTAAGTATTGTGTGCCTATCCCCATTTTTTGAATAAAATGTGTTTTTATTGCCCAGTTTTGTATAATGTAGTGATTTTTAGGAACCCATATATCATGTTACGGCAGAATGACTATATTTCAGTTATTTGGCATCAAGAATTTCGAAATTCACAAAACTATATGTTGGAGTTATCATATTAATCTCTAGCATAATGAACACATATAAATTGAGAAATGGAAATTCTTCTTAGTCATAAAATTATAATTTTTTTTCAAATATAATAAAGTGCTCATTTTTAAGACATCTCCACTGCTCTAAGTATTTAACAGACAATTCAAAAGACATCCAGTTTTGCTTTTTAGATTTATATCACTTTCTAGGTAAGTAGCCAATTCAAAAGCACAATTTTGTTCTAAACAGAAGTATAAAGAAATAACTACTCCATATTTCTACCAAGATTTTTTTTTTTTTTTTTAAAGATGGGGTTTCACCATGTTGGTCAGGCTGTTCTTGAACTCCCGACCTCAGGTGATCCAACCGCCTTGGCCTCCAAAGTGCTTGGATTACAGGCGTGAGCCACCACGCCCAGCCAAGATTTTTAACTTTGTGAACTCATGAACATTAAACTAGCAAAACCTAAGAGAGAAAGAAGTCAGGGTTATAACCAAATTAAAATCATGACAAAATTAATTATAAACTCAGTTAATAATATAGAACCCTATCAACATGGGATTAAGGAAGTTTTTGTCAGTTGTTTTAATTTTCCTTTGAACAATATAAACAAATTTTTTTTTTTTTTTTGAGACGGAGTTTCGCTCTCGTTACCCAGGCTGGAGTGCAATGGCGCGATCTCGGCTCACCGCAACCTCCGCCTCCTGGGTTCAGGCAATTCTCCCGCCCCAGCCTCCTGAGTCGCTGGGATTACAGGCACGCGCCACCATGCCCAGCTAATTTTTTGTATTTTTAGTAGAGACGGGGTTTCACCATGTTGACCAGGATGGTCTCGATCTCTTGACCTTGTGATCCACCCGCCTCGGCCTCCCAAAGTGCTGGGATTACAGGCTTGAGCCACCGCGCCCGGCCAACAAATTTTATTTTTGTCTCTTCAATTGCTATTAGTTTTCCTTGATGCTACATATAGTTTCATATTTCTCTTTCAATTACTACCCCACTCTACCTTCAACATATATATCTTGATTCTAGCTTTTAAATAAAAGTCCAGACTCTATTATCTATTATATAATTTCAGGTATGAATTTCTTCTCTTCCCTAACGCTCTAGCCTCTCCTTCATTCTCTGAGAGATTCCTGCCCCCCTGTAGGTGTTATACCAAAGAGATCCCTGAACAGCCATTCTAGCTAATCCCTGATCCCCATAGCTCACCCAAGCCAGTATTACTATACGCAACTCATCAGAAATGTTAGAGATAGGTTTAAAATAAACCCAAGGGGCAGAGGGTGGGCCACAAATAATTGTTTAGCAAGAAAAGATTCTTTATCCACATCTGATGCGCATAGGATGTAAGAAAGTACTCTTGCAAGTTACAGGCCTTCAAGAAGGGACATTGGGCTGTGAGAGATCAGAGACTCAGTGAAAGGGCATGCCTTAATACTATTTTGAGGGCTGACTTTTCCAATGAGCTGGTATGATTTCAGGATAGAAGAAAACTAGTATCACCCAATTCTATTCTCCTTGATAACATATTTCTTAGCCAGAAAGCATATTTCATTTTGCAATTAGAAACAAGGTACAAAAACAAATCTAATATGAAGATAAAGATTGATCAATACAGAATACTAAAGTACCCATGACAGATAGCAGAAACTAAGAAAATAAAGAACAGAGACTTTAGAACACTAAGATGCAAAAAA